AGGATTAGCTGGTGTTGGGATAGCTTTGAGTACTAGGGCAGAAAAGACATTACTTGACTGGATCCCGGTAGATAGCCGAATGTGTGCTGTCCGTCTGAACGGATCAGTGAAACGGAGAAAGGACTGCACTACTCGCCGATGCCTTTTCGTAATCTCCGCCTACGCCCCCACTGACTGCAGTTCGGATGAAACGAAGGATGAGTTCTACCAAAAGCTGTCTAGTTTGCTGCGAAAGGCTAAACGCTCAGATATAGTCGTTTTAGCTGGTGACTTTAATGCTCAAGTGGGGAAATTGTGTCAATCTGAGAAGAATGTCGGTGGCACATACGGAATTCCGTGCCAGTGAAGCGGCAACGGTGACCGTCTCCTACAGTTCTGTTCAGATAATCACTTGTTTCTTGTAAGCACTAACTTCAAACACAAGGAGAGACACTGTTTGACCTGGCGACCTCCATCATCAAACCAACGCTGGACACAAATAGACCACATAGCAATAAGCTATCGTTGGCGTGGGTCGGTAGGGGATTGTCGCTCCTTCTGGAACACGTGTGTAGATACCGATCACGCACTGGTCCGCGCTCGTGTGTGCTTACGACTGAACGGACGTAGGAAACAGCTAGCGGTAAACCCATCACGTCCCCAGCTCGATCAGGAAACTAAGTCCCTATTTGAGGAAGAACTAGCTAAACACATATCTGAGTTCGACAGCTGCGCTCACCCTGAAGAAGTCTGGAAGAATATTCAATCAGCCATAGATACAGCTTTAAAAGCTGTGAATAAGGTAAATCCAAAGGTGAGTAAAAACCATTGGATTTCGACTGCCTCATCCGAACTGATAGATGCTAGAAGACTTATTCCGGCGAGCTCCGAATTCAATGAGGAGCGAAAGCTGCACAAAAGGAAACTTACGAAAAGTCTCCGCAAGGACCGTGAACAGTGGTGGTTGACAAAGGCGAAAGAGATGGAAAAAGCATCGGCGATAGGCAACACTAGGCAACTCTTTAGACTCATCAGGGAAACGGGTGGGAGAAGGCAAATCATAAGTGAGACTATTTGTGAGAAAAATGGCTCCTTAATTAGCTCTCAGGATAGACGCCTTGAACGCTGGAAAGAACACTTCGAGGAACAATTTAACTTGCCTACAGCCACACTGAGCCTCCCGCCATCCAGCACACACCCGAATGGGATATAGACACTGGTCCGCCGTCTGTAAGTGAGGTCACCAAAGCTATCTGTAATTTGAAACGAGGCAAAGCGGCAGGACCCGACGGAATTATTCCGGAGGTGTTTAAATATGGGGGTGACATACTAGTATATAATTTAACTAAGGTACTAGGTAACGTCTGGGAGTCAGAGACGGTTCCATCAGACTGGGGTAAGTCACTTATTATACCAGTATTCAAGAAGGGAGACAAGTCCTCATGTGATAATCATAGAGGAATCAGCCTAACGAACATAGTCTCTAAAATCCTAGGCTCAGTAATCATGAACAGACTAAGCCGAACTCGGGAGGAACAAACGAGGGAAAATCAAGCGGGCTTTAGGCCAGGTAGAGGGTGCATAGATCATATCTTCACTCTCCGACAGATCCTAGAACATAGACACACTTTTAGGCGTCCAACAATTGCCATATTTCTTGACTTGAAGGCGGCCTTCGACTCCGTGGATCGAGAGGTACTACGGCAATGTTTGACTATGAAGGGAGTGCCAAGAAAGTACATTGCACTAATCAAGGCGCTCTACTCAAACTCACGTAGCTGTGTAAGGGCTTATGGGGAATTGTCATCTGAATTGATAACAACCAGTGGTGTCCGTCAAGGATGTCCACTTTCCCCTTTTCTGTTTAACTTCATCATAGATATGCTAATGGAAGTATCCTTAACTGAATTTAACGACTTAGGAATCGACTTGTTACCGGGGAATAGTCTTATGGACGTAGAATATGCAGATGACATAGTCCTGTTAGGGGAGGATGCTGACAAAATGCAGAGTCTTCTGAACACCTTGAGCAGCAATCTTCGTATGTTTGGCATGCGATTCGCCCCTGTGAAATGTAAGATGCTGCTACAGGACTGGACTACGTCAACTCCTAGCTTAGTGATAGGAAGTGAAGTGATAGAACATGTTGACCACTTCACCTATTTGGGAAGTTGTATCAGCACCAACGGATTGATTGGTGACGAAATCACAGCACGGATCCAGAAAGCTCGGGCTGCTTTCGCTAACTTACACCGTCTCTGGCGTAGGCGTGACATCCGGCTGTCAACCAAGGGACGTGTATACTGCTCAGCAGTTCGCTCCGTCCTTCTCTATGGCGGTGAGACGTGGCCATTGAGAGCGGAAGACATGAAGAGATTGTCTGTTTTTGACCACAGATGTTTACGATCTCTTTCTCGCGTTAGATGGTATAATAAAGTAAGTAATGTTGACGCCAGGCGTAGAGTGTTGGGCAAAGAGGGAAAATCACTCGAAGAGGCTATAAAGTTACATAGATTGAGATGGCTAGGTCACGTGCTGCGCATGCCTAACCATCGCCTCCCCCGACGGGCATTACTAGCTGATATAGGTGCAGGTTGGAAAAGAGTAAGTGTTGGCCAAACAAAAACATGGCATCAATCCATGAAATCCCTGACAGTTAAACTGAGTCAGGTAGGGAGATGCAGACTTCCGGGTTGGGGCCCGCCCTCGCGACTCTAAGAATCAATGGCTGTAGACACTAGGTGACATGGCTCAAAATCGTTGTCAATGGCGCAGATGTATTCAGTTTCTTTAACCTTCATATTCCTTTCTACCATTACTCATTCTGTTTCACTCTTATACTTATCTAAATTCTATTGATTCTCTTCTCTCATTTTCTTGTCTACCTTTGTGTGCTATTTGGAACGTGGCAACTCGAACTGCTGCAATTCGGTGCCAAGTTCTATGTTGAATCCAGCCTCTCTCCTAGATGAAGACGCTGACAAAGTCACGAGTCTACTGAACATCTTGAGAAGCAGCAATCTTCAAATATTTGGCATGCGATTCTCTTCCGTCAAATGTAAGATGACGCTACAAGACCAGACTGGACTACATCAACTAATCGTAGCTTAAAGATAGGCATGAGTGAAGTCGTTGGTGGTGGAGCGTGTTGACCACTTCACTTATTTGGGGAGTTGCATCAGTCACTGTCAACGGGTTGATCACTGACAAAATCTCAACACGGATACAGAGGGCTAGTTTCGCATATGCCATCTCTGGCGTAGATGTGATATTCAGCTGGTTGTCAACCGAAGGGCGAGTGTATTGCTCAGCAGTCCCCTCCGTCCTCATTTGTAGCTGTAAGACATGGCCGCTGAAAGTGAAAGATAAGAAAAGCCTGACTAACTGTCTTTGATCATAGATGCCTGCGTCCGATCTCACGTGTTCAGTGGTAGGTGTAATAAGGTGAGCAATATTGAGGTTAGGCTCCGGTCGAGAGGGAGGGGGGGAAATCAATTGACGAAGTTGTTACATCGATTGAGATGGTTAGCACATATGTAACGCGTGCATCACTAGCCATCGATCGTCTTCCTCGACAATGGGCAATGTTAGCTGAATGACATAAGATGGATCAGGTTGGAAAAGAGTCACCTAGTGGTGGTTGGTCAATGAAATCCACAACAGTTAGTTTAAGCCAACCAGCCTGTCATGTGGGGAGGCGGAGACTTCCTGACTGGCTGGTTTTCTCAGGATAGTAAAAACCAATGACAGCTGGAGACAATTGGTGATATGGCTGGTGCAGATGCATCCTCTCGTTGTGATTTTTAATACCCAATAAAACCATATTGTTCTCCAATATTAATATTCTTTTTGCCTCATATCTCTGTTTATTATCTGTCTTTTGAATCTTTCTTTGCTCTCTTCTCTTGCTTTGTGTGCTACGTTGAGGTAGTGTGGCAACTCGAACTGGTGCACATCGGTGCAAATTTCTATGTCAGAAGAAGTTGTTGGGAACAGAAAATCTGCTTGTTCTAAAATATTGTTTATTGTATCACTTAACGTAGGAAAACTCAATGGTAAAATACAAAGCTCTCTGGAATTTTGAAAAGAAGAGTTATTGTCAGCCGGCATCCATTCGATCGACGTTGTTCAATATCATGAATTGCCGCTACATCCACAGAGAAGTAATGCACTTCGAATACTTGACATCAGATAAGTGAATTATCAATTCAATTCAACGGACTGGGTTAATAAATAGTTTGAATACCACTCAATTGTTGTCTTATATGAGGTATCTTCAAGCGCTGGTTTGTAAGGATTAAATTTGTTTTAACGAGTTTGACCACGGATTGATATCAGTTAGAGAACCATAGAAAACCAGGGAGTACTGGACAGTTTGGGAATCATCGGCAGTACGCATCCACCGCCAGGGTTCGAACCCAGGACCTTCCAGTTACAAGGCAAGCTGGCTTGCCTACCATTCAGCCACTGGGACCCGATTCAATGGCCAGCCCATGAATTCGAACTTCTACCAATTCGTGATTTAGCGCGACTGGCACCAACCAGTGTCATCGGTGGGAAATCATCCATCGCCACACTTGACTGATTGAACCTCACTGGTCACGACTTCTCATAATAATCATCCACCACTAACATTATCATTAAATCGTTATTACCATCGCGAGATTTGAAATCGAAATACTAAGACTGCAACCTAATCATGAAAGGAAAGATGTTGGGGCTAGATTCAAAACTACTAATTTGTTGTGTTGGTTGCTTTTGACTGAAATTGAATAGAAAAACCAACAGCGAAGCAGGAATTCGAACATCCAGAATGTCTAGAGGAGAACAAAATTAAAACAAGCTGTGTACCAATCAGTTCAATTATCATAAGGAATTTGTGGAAAATGTATACCCTGTCCACTGTTACTAGACGATTATTTGCTAGACAAATGCCTGTAGGAGAAATTCCACTTGACGTTCGCGGATTAACAGTAATGCTATGGTCTAAGTGTTTGCATAAACACTCATCATAACGATGTGTCTGTCAACAAGTGGATTTTGCACACATAATAATTAATGATCCAAAAGCAACACAGATTGGTAGTCATTAAAAATCAAAATATCATGCATAAAAAGTCTCTATTTGAAACGAGAATTATGAGTACCAACAGAAACCAAACATACATTTATCTTCCGATGTACAAAAAACTAACTTAAAATAAAAATAACAAACGAGGTAAAATATTATTGCAAAAGAAGAAGAAGAACAGTTAAGAAACCGAACGATAACTCCCCAATTGACTTCATGGTACCACCCACCAGTAGGACACACACTATGCATACGCCCGACTTACACTACGAGTACCTGTATTTTTAAAACAGAGAAGAGACGTATTTAAAATACAGTATTCATAGGATGTTATGTAGAGCAGAGAAAAGAAAGAATCTCAATCCACACACGGTGGAATCGAATAAAAAATGTAATGAAGCACAATTTTTACGGTCTACAGGTGAACAGCAAATATACCACATCCTTGAGATGTAAGGATTACTGTCTTTTACTCTTCAACTGTCATTCTTTTTTCAAGTAGAAATAGTATTATGAGCGTAAATATAGTATAGTATAGTGCCATCATGGTTTAGATGGGGGGGGGGATGGGAAACTAGGGTTGGCGACATTAAGGTCGATGGGAATTTCGAAGTAGAAGATCCTGTTGGCTGCAACTAGTGATTTGGAAAATTCATACAATGGTAAAGGAACACACATCCTAAATGAAAGATAATTACGTAAATTTACTAGTATACTTAACATATTTTAATCTTGGGAACTATTCATGTACCAAAAGACACCGGGTGGTGAGCATTAATCAAAGCAGTGGAATTTGATTGTTTTTTATTTACCGAATAAAAAATCAATATTTACACAATCTGAATCTTTATTGATATGCTGTAGAATCAGGCTACGGTTGCATATAACATAGGATCAGTCATTTAAGGTGGAAACCCCATACAACAGCATCCCGAATCGCATTGTAAGTGTCATAGTTATCCCTTCGCGTAAAGTAAATATGTACGACTGGAATTCAAGAAGCACTATGAATTACTGATATTAGATGGTTAGAGGCAATCGACAGGAGAAGCCCAGCCTTACCTAGGTTTCGTGCTAGTTGGCACTCACCAGTCGTCAATCAACAAGGTGTATGTATATCTGCAACCTCGAAGGAACTCATCTCCCCCCACTGAGATTCAAACCCAGTGCACGGTGATGACAAGTCATCTAGCATCGCAGTCACATTTTGCTAACTTGACTGATAGAATTCAGTCAACACCAAAGATAGGGGACTAGACACACATTGCACTAATTACTGAATAGTGCCCAATCAGATGCTAATTCACACAACACCGTTGGGTGATTGACACGTTTAGCCGAGTAAATGAATATTTCACCAGCAAAAACCAAAGAGGTGGTGAATTCTCATCGCTAACTAATTTATCAGAGCTGATGCAAGTGTTTACTGAATTTGTGAAGTCGTCAACACGTTCAACCATTTGGTTCCGTAAATGTAAACTAGTAGCCGGTGTCGATCAGTCCTACGACGTTAAACCAACACCTAGCTGCAGTGAATCGCATACCACATATGTGCCTGAAAAACTCCGCACTCTTCATTAAAAAAAGGGCAATATGGTCTGTTAACTCTGAATCAACGAGACTGTTCTCTGGTAGCAATTCACTACGTGAGACATTGAAGGGACCAATATCGCTAACCATATCAGATGATTATAATTAATATATATATCCTAGTACAATTACTACGGATAAAGTCATCAAACATATGTGTCGCTCGATGCAACCATTCTTCTCTGTTCAGTTTTACGCTATCGAAAATGACAGTATACAGATGGCTAATTTTAGAGTCGGTAGGCTAAACTGGATACAAGTGGTCATGCAATACATCCCGGCCGATAACTGCTACCTTGTCGTGGTGGTCGGGCTTAAATACCGCAATGACCCAAGAGGCTGAACTGACTGGGACTCTGTCTCTACAGGTCCTACCATGTCAGGGAGGTTTTCTGGATGGCGGTTAAACTAAAAGCAGTTACTATGGGGTACATGGGCTCCAGTTTCCAATTGGATCGAATGGCGTATGAACCCATATGGGTCACCGGCAACCATGGGAATGCAGCTCCTGACGCTGCTCCGCTGCCTTGCGGATTAGACTCCAAGTCAAAGGCTCGGGGGGTGGTCCCTTAATAAAACCACCTGCTTCGGTCTGGGCGCCCGGGCAGTATCTCAGCCCTCACACAATAAATGAATTGAAGCAACGAACTCTCATTGAAACTCAACGAGCGCTAGTAAAAATGATTCCAAGCAATACTGATCCCTCAAGCAACTTATTTCCTTCCTATCTTACTTTTATTTTTACATATAGTTTCCTGTATTTTACCTTTGCTAACCTTGGCTTCTTAACCTTCGACAGCCTTTCGCCTTTGTCGAGATTCCCAGCCTATCCGTGTCGTTTCGAGATGTTAGTGAGTAGTCCTCAAAATGGTTGTTCCCAATGTAACTTCTAACACAGATATCCTGAAACCGCGTGCTGCGTTCAAGCTGGCTACCTACAATGTTCGGACGCTGATGCAAATCGGACAACAGGCAGGGTTGGCAAGAACTTTGGAAAGCCTCGCTATCGATGTCTGCTGCATTTCGGAGACCCGCATTCAAGATCCCAGTGAAGTGCTTCGACTATCTTCTCCATCTGGAAGTTCTAGTAGTATGTACCACCTGCGCTTATCCGGGGACCCTGTGGCATCGGCATCCGGCGTAGCTGGTGTCGGTGTCACACTGAGCGCTAGAGCCGAAGCTGCACTGCTCGACTGGATTCCCATTAACAGTCGTTTATGTGCTGTGAGGCTGGAAGGATATACGAAAGTAAGGAGTAGTAGGCCAGATAGGCGGTGTCTATTTGTTGTCTCTGCCTATGCACCGACGGATTGCAGCCCGGATGCAATGAAGGATGAGTTTTACTACCAACTGAGCGATCTGTTGAAACAGGCGGGTCGGAGGGATATCGTAGTGCTAGCTGGGGACTTGAATGCACAGGTCGGGCGTCTAAGCTCAGAGGAGAGTCGTCTAGGTGGTCAGTGGGGACTACATGGTCGCAGGTCAGATAATGGGGACCGTCTTCTGCAGCATTGCGCGGATCACAACCTATTTCTAGCCAGCACCAACTTCCGGCACAGCCATAGCCATAGCGCTACCTGGCGTCCTCCCTCTGCGAAGCAAGCTTGGACTCAGATTGATCATATTGCGGTCAGTTTCCGGTGGCGAGGATGCATACAAGACTGTCGCTCCTTCTGGAGCACATGCCTGGACTCCGATCATGCGTTAGTGTGTGCCAAGTTCGTCTTGCGATTTGGTGGGGTTCGTAAAAACCGTCGTCTAAGCGTTGATGTGAGCAAACTAGTAGCACCTGCTACTTCTTTGAAATATCAGAATGAGTTGAAAACAATGCTTGCCAGCAACCCCCCAAGTAGTATACATGAACACTGGCTTCATGTGCAAGGTGCCATGCAAAAGGCGAGTGTAGCCGCTTGCGGCTTGGAAGAATGCTCCGCCAAAAACCACTGGGTTTCTGCGAGTTCCTTGCAACTCATGGATGAACGCCGGTCCATTCCGACTGGCAGTGAATACAACAATCAGCGAAAGGCGCTCACGCGCAAGATTAGACAGTGTTTACGTAAGGACCGCGAAGCCTGGTGGTCAGAACGTGCGTATGAGATGGAGTCAGCTGCTGCATCTGGCAACAGTCGGAAGCTGTTCCAACTCATACGAGCTACCGGCAGCAAGAAACAAGGTGTCAGCGAGACGGTCTGTGAGGCAGATGGCACTCCAATTACCAGCCTGAAGAGACGCCTGGAACGCTGGGCAGAGCACTTCGGGAAGCAGTTCAGCTGGCCACCAGCTTCACTGTCTACTATCATTAGCCCGAGTGCTCCTTGGTCGGTTAGTACCGACCCACCCACCGAAGCGGAGGTCCGTAAGGAACTTCAAGTTCTGAAACGCCATAAGGCGCCCGGCCCAAACAAATTACCCCCGGCTCTTTTTAAAGATGGTGGCGAGACTCTCATAATGGCTCTAACTGGGTTGTTCAGGAGGGTGTGGGAGACAGAGAGCGTACCATCAATGTGGAACGAAGCCATTATCGTCCCCATCTTTAAAAAGGGTCGACGTAATTCGTGTGACAACCATAGGGGTATCAGTCTGTTACCAGTTGCGTCTAAAATATTGGCTGCTGTCATGCTTCGCAGACTGTGCAAAATACGTGAAGGATTGATTCGTGAAGAGCAGGCTGGGTTTCGTTCAGGTCGTGGATGCATTGATCATGTATTCACCCTTCGTCAGTTGTTGGAACACCGCCACACGTATTGCAGGCCAACGATCGTTGTGTTTCTTGATATTAGGGCTGCCTTCGATTCGTTGGACAGAACTGTGCTCTGGAACTGTCTGTTAGAGAGAGGTGTACCTGAGAAATTTGTTAACATCTTGAAAGCCCTATACAGAAACACCTCAGAGTGAGGGCATACAACCAACTATCACCACTGTTCCCAACCAACAGTGGGTTTAGACAGGGTTGCCCAATCTCTCCATTTCTCTTTAACTTTGCCATCGATGACATTCTGGAGTCAGCTCTGAAGGATGTGCGTGAAGGTGGTGTAGATCTGCTACCTGGAGATAGACTTTTCAACCTCGAGTATGCAGACGATATCGTCTTACTGTGCGATAGCATGCAGGCTGCCCAAATCGCACTTAATCAGTTGGCGATCAGTGTCTGTAAGTATGGTATGTGCTTTGCGCCGTCTAAGTGCAAAGTACTGTTACAAGATTGGCAGGAGCCTGTACCTGCACTCACTCTTGCGGGTGAACCGCTTGAAGTTGTTGATAAGTTTGTGTACCTGCGTAGTTGTGTGAGTGCTGGCGGAGGTGTGGCGGATGAGATTTCCAACCATATAATGAAGGCTAGGGTGGCATACATCAACTTGAGCCACCTCTGGCGCCGTCGCGACGTTAGCCTGGCTGTCAAAGTTCGGATGTACAATGCTTCGGTGCGGGCTGCGCTGCTCTACGCCTGTGAAACCTGGCCTCTCCGAGCTGAGGATGTGAGGCGACTCTGCGTGTTCGATCACCGCTGTCTCCGCAGGATTGCTTGCGTTCGATGGCATCATCGCGTGAGTAATTCTGAGGTTCGGCGGCGTGTGCTTGAACACAGTGGAGATCACCATTCATTGAATGTCGTCATCTGGAAACACCGGCTCCGGTGGCTTGGACATGTGCTGCGAATGTCACCCCAGAGGCTTCCGTACAGGTCT